CTCTCTGGTCAAATTAAAATAAATAAATAAATAAATAAATAAATAAATAAATAAATAAATAAAGTTAAATGAAATAATTTTTAAAAAAATAAAAAAAGGAAGAGTGAGGGCAAGAGGTTGTTTGGGTTTTGAGAACTTGTCACCCCTGAAGCCTCCTTGTGCTGCAGCCAGGAGAGGACACGGCCCGGACCACGTGCCTGTGGAGCCTCTATTTCCTGTCAGATAGTGCAAGCGACCCGGGAGATTTGGTGACCTCTGCCTTCAGTGTTTCTGACCCCTCGAGAAGGCGGGTGGGCCTCCTCCCAACAGCAGCACTCTGCAGTCACAGAATGGCAGCCCAACCGCTTCTTTCAGGACGTCAAGCTGAAGTGTGCCCACGGCTGTGTCTGTGTGCCGGGCACCGTGCTGGGGTCTCTCGTCAGTCCCCCACACTGCCATGCTAGGCACCATGAAGAAGGAGGGGTCAGCATGGAAATCCAAGCTGATTAGGAAGCAGGGGCTACAAACAAATGCTCACCTGACCTCGTGACCTCGGGAGCAGCACCCCGGTGTCCATACCAGGAGACAACATTGGACATCATCACCCCAATTACTCAGACACTTTTCTGAAATTCTGCAGCCTATGCCTTGTGGAATTCCCTGTGTCCCTTGACTACTCTCCCCGAATTTGCCTTTGACTCTCCATATGCTCTGTCATCCCACTGCACTGATAAGACAAAATACATTGCACCGATCTTGCAGATTCCTGTGCTCATCCTGTTCCTCGTTTATCTGCTCAGAGCAGATAACCGTTCCTCATGAAAATATAGTTTTAGGGTAGAGGAAAATGCTTTATTCATTTGAATTCAACTTCCTTCTGCCTCTCCTCTTCCTATGTCAAGTAAATCCCGAAGCTAAAGGCTCCCGGACATTTGGTTCAATGCCTGGGGCTTCTGAAAGCCCGTAGGAAGGAGGGCCCTGAACAAAACGGTCCAGTCACAGCGACTCAGTCAGCCCTTCCTTCCAACAGCCATTTTCTTTTCACAGCAGAATGGAGGGAATGCTCGTTGCCATGACGACTGGCGGCTGCCAGAGCTGCTGCAGGTCTCTGTGCTCATCTGATGAAGAGGCTGCAGTTGTGCTCTGCAGAAGATGGGGATCAAAGGGCCTGCTTGGGACTGGGAGGGGTGTGTGTGGGGACATCCAGTGAGTCAGGGTGCAGCCTTCCTAACCATCCCACCAATAGACAAAGCTAGTCATGGAAACCCCCAGCAAGGCTGCAGAGAAAGGGATGATGTGGTGGGACTGACGAGGGAGAGAGGGAGGGGTGGGGCAAGGCGCTGAGCTCTGTGAGGTATGGACACTCGGAGAGGTCCAAGCGCTGCTCCGGCAGAGATGCAGGCATCTGGGAGGGGTGGTCTCTCTGACTTCTCTGCTGCTGCTGCCTCTGTCCAAGCTCAGGACAGAATTCTTACCTGAGGTCAATAAAAGCACTCTCCCCCTCCCCAGATTTGGCCACAGCACACAAAGTCATGCTGGGAAGTAAGGCCGGGCAGGGCCACCGCATTGACACATCCAGGTGTGATTGGCTGTGGCTGCTTTCTCCAAGATCTCCTCTGGATAGAGTGGAGGTGCTGCTCAGTTCTCTGCTGTGAGAGCCAGAAGGGGTCTCAGATCCCATGTCCTACCTCTTCATCCTCCAACTAAGAAAGAGAGGGAAAGTGACATCCCCACGGCCACTTCTATTAGGGCCAGGGTGCCCCACAGCTAGACCTCCTGGCTCCCAGCTAAGCATTCTGTCTACTATGCAATTCTGCCTCTGCAGAGAGGAGGAAATCTGGGGACCCCAATAAGTGCCTTCAGATTCCCTGTCCCTTAACAGAACAGAGAAAGCCCAGAGTTGACAGGGCCCTCTAATATTTGGGGAGCGTGAAGCCTTACAAAGAAGGCCCCAGGCCAAGGCCATCTGTCTTAAGGCCAATCAGGACCTTTCCTGTCACTTTCTGTGGCTCACATTCCATGGGAACAACAGGCCTATGAAGCCCAGGAGCTGCGCCGACGCCACCCGTCACCGAAGTGATGGTCCTTTTGGAGTGTGTGGGGACACTGGCATTCTTTAGAGAACTGGAGGCATGTTTCTGTCTGCCAAGTTCATCGGCCCCTGTGCCGAGTGCTAGCCGCCAGCTCCGACATCTGGATCCTGTCGCTTCTCGCAGAACCCTCGCTGCTTAGAGGATGTTCTTATCCCGGGTGAAAACCCGGCCTTAATTTTTCAGTTCTTTTCAAACAGAGCACAACTCACCAGGGGCAGGAGAACATGCTGAGGCTGGAGCATTTTCATACCCCAGTGTGGCCAGCATCTCTCTCTGGGCGTGGAGAGAAATGAGAAACCGAATTTCAAAGGGATTCCTAGCTTAATGGGCTCCCACGCACACATTCATCATCACAGAAGTTGTTAAAAGAAAAGCTCTCCATTCAGGCTCCCGGCCTTTTGCACACATGGAAAAGATAGTGATTCTTCCCTCAACACGCCCGGGACGAAGCTGGGTCAGAGGAACCCCAGACTTGCTGGAAATCAATGCCTGGACGGTTTCCACCACAGCACAATGGCTGATTATTCCTCCCCAAATGCTAAACCTTGAAATATGAGGTTTAATAATGGTAAGTGGGAACTCTCCAAACTCAAGACTGTTTCCTCCACTTCCTGCCACCCGCTCCTTTCTTATTCTAATACTACTTTCATTGTTTCCAATTAAAATTCCTACTTTTAGCCTTTCTTCGGTTGCACATGTAAGGGAAATTTCCCAACCAGGCATAATTTGTACATTTAAAGGAAATTAGGAAAACATTTCTCCCAGATAAAGTCTCTCATCTTCTGCTTCCCATAAACATGCTCTACATAAATACTGCATGCTCTTAGCTGTGTCTGAAGAAATGTGCTTATAAACCTAGGGGTTTGAAACTGGGTGGGACTGGGGCAGGGCAGATGGTTCCTCTGTCCAGGACTTTTCTTGTTTCTTTGTTTTTAGAGAGAGATTTTTGCTAGGGCATGTGTGCTTGCCAGAGAGAGACAGAAAGTAAGAATTCCTTCTCCTTCATTCTCCTCTTGGGATTTGGGGCATGCATGCACATGCATCTGAAGTGATTCTCAAGCCACTGGTTTTGGGACTCGAATTGTGCAGTCGGCCATGTGGGATCCAGCCACCCTAACCTCGAGGCCATCTGTTGGCCCCATACTTCATTATTTCAACCGATGCTCACAATAGTTCTGAGAGGTAAAAAGGTCAATGTTATTATCTCCATTTTACAAAAGGGGGAATTGAGACTTAAAAAAAAATGAAAGAACTTGCCTAGGGTTACCTAGCAGTAAAGCCAAGATGAAAAATCCCCTAAAATTCTCAAGTCCAAGCTCTTCCCCTTATAGCCCTCAATGACCACTAACCTTTTGTCAAACCCTGGTCAGGTTCGTTATAGGCTCTTAGTTATCATTCCAAATCATGTTCCAGAGAAAGTAGAGTCTTTGTACAAAGATCTGATAGTCAGCGACTGCCATCGTCTTGTTCCTAGAACTGGCCTCATTGCCCACAGGTAGTCGCAGCACACTAACCCTCATTTTGCAGATGGGGAAGTAGAGGCCGAAAGCTGTAAGTAACGGTACTAGTATGATCAATACTAGGGCCTCCAGGAGAATGGAGTTCAAATTCCTAATCATTTCTTTCATATGATTCTGCCCCTTGTGAGCAGCTAGAAGAAAAGATTCTTCCTTTTGAAACGTAAGTGCCCTCCCTACCCTTATCACACTTTCCCCATCTCTCATAAGTAAAATAACTCCTGGGAAACTGACATATTTTAAAACATGCTTTCTGTTTAAGTGTATTTTTATTTTTAATCTATATATATATTGTGTTCTGAAAGGAGCGCCCACTCTTTTAGCAAACAGCTTCATGTGTAGATAGAAGTTTTGTAACTCCCAACTCCCCAGCAGAAATAGACTATAAAGTCTTAGTTGCTGAAGAAAATGTATTAAAATTTCAGTTCATAAAAGATGCTAAGGTACTTATCAGAGGAGGTGGGAAAGCAACAGAGAAGAATTATTCTGGTTTCACAAAGGAGTTCATAGATTTCACTCGAATCAGCAGTTTTCTTGCAGCAGTTTAATTTGACTGGTTTTCTTTTCAGACTCCAGTGTACTTGAGGAGGTAGCAGCTGAGAGCAGAGAGTGAACCAAGTTATCTCCCATGGCTAATTGAAAATACTTTCTTGTTAAGAGGTTATAAAGACATTGGCTGTGGAGGAAGACAGATTGCAGATGTGCAGCGGACCTAGGGCCAATGGGGGCACACCTGAGGCAGATGCTCTGTTGGCTAATTTAAGAGATGGATGAACTACAGAGGGGTAATCTGATCAGAGCTTATGCATGAGATAAGGAAAACTCTAGAACCTATTTAATGATGGCTAAAGACTTTCAAAAAAGGCATCAGATTGTAATTATACATGTATTTTTGTTGACTTTTGTTCCAGAAATGAGTCTTAAACATCACTGTACATAACAATTTAGTGAAGAATTGTCTTTTTCTTTTTCAAAGTATAACCAAATGCTGAAGTCGCCTTCATTTGACCATACCTGTGGGAAATACAGATGTTCAGACCAGGTGGGTAAGAACGGAGGCTTCCTTACTTGTCTGAGACAGTTTACTCTCACTAGCAAAGTATTTGAGGGAAACTAAAGGGCCTAGACTTAGCAAAGTCAGTGAGAGTAAAACAGAAACTAACAGGACAGTACTGTAGAGTGGGTAAGGCCAAGAACTCTGAGCCAGACTACGTGAATTTGAATCTCAGCTATATCATTTATTAGCTATGTGATCTTGGCCAACTTATTTAATCCCTCAGTACCTCATCTATTCACCAGGGAAAAACAGAGGCATCCTTATAGGACCTTGGACAGATTAAATGAATTAATATATGTAAAGTTCATAATAAGTATTTAGGATCTGTTTTGGATTATTATTCTTAATCAATCTTTAGTAAGGATCCTTCCAAAAGAAATGATTTTGATTACTATTTCTGAGGGAAGCAATGTTTTCTGAATGGGTTACTATACATTGCCACTCCAGAATGATCCAATTGGTGATCCGATTCTACTCCCTGCATCAAGATATTTTATTGGCCAGTCCTAATTTCATAGACGTGAAAGACTGAAGGAAATCCGAACCAAAGAGCCATAGCGGAGGAGGCTCTAGTCATTTCATCTTGGTCTCCATTTTCTTGTCTATAAAATGGGGATGGTAATAAAACTGAATTCATGTGCTTGGGAGCCTCACAAAAAATAAACTGTCAGGAGAGAGCTGTGGTTAAGAATATAGGATCTGGAGTCAGGGAAACGTAGGTCCAGTCTGACTCTTGGTAAGTGAATTCTCAGTGGAGTCTTGGAGCCTGTGTTCTTATCTATAAGTGACCTTTGTGGCCTGACTGATCTCATAGAGATGTGGGGATGGTTTAGAAAGGTAATGTATATAAAGTACTGAACCCAAGGTCAAGCTTTGTTGCTTGTTTTAAATGATGGTACACACGATAGTACTTGGAACTTTCACCCCCCCACCCCAAACAAACAAAATTCCCAAT